GACAAGGAGAGCAACAGCGTGCGACAAATACAGACATATAGACGCGGTAGACAAAGAGAGCAACAGCGTGCGACAAGGACAACAATATAAATTAGTTCCGACACCTATTCTAGGGATGATCTACACGGTGCATGCTTAAATCAAAATTGTTCCAAAACGCCTGAATGCAATTTAACATAAATAAATAGACAGACACACTAAAAAGTGACATTAATTCGTTATTTTATTATTTCTTTTATCTAAATTAATATAAAACAATAATATAAACAATAATATAAAAAATTCCTTGTTCGACTCAACATATATGTTATAAAAATAATAAGTACAATAAAACACGTACAATACATATATAAATTTATTCAATAAATGATTCAATGATACATTTCTCGTTTTTTTTCTTTTTTTTAAAATATTTCTCAATTGGATTAATGCACACAACATGCTTACCGTGAAAGATTAACAAATTTATTAAAAAATACACTAATATACGTACTCTCTGATATTTACACCGTAGAAAAATATGTATACGTTGCATACGTTCAATAAATATATCTTCTTATATTTCACTTCTTTTACAGTTAAATACAGTTTTCAAACAGCGTTCGTAAATATTGCTAATGTACAACAATCGCGTTAATTTATCATAAAGTGGGCTAACTTTTGATTGCTTTCTGTGTCAAATTTTAATCTTTTGACTTTGTGTATGTTATCCTTCGCATTTCTTATCCTGATAACAGAGGAATTCGGAAGATTTTCAAGTTTCGAATGTCCTTCAAAGTCGAACGCAAGAGCATTCATATTCTAAACCAATGATACGTTTATAAGTAAATGAACCAACAGCCTTGAATTTACTTGTGCGTATACTTACGTTTCTAACGCTCTTTTGCGCAATTCTTGATTTCTTCGCGAGAATCGAGGAAGCTAATTTCGCCGAATTGCTTTTTTCAGTTGGCTGTTGCTTTAGAGCTAATACACCTCTCGATTTCACCGGAAGATATGGAGAATCTGTCCTCTGAAAACCATTGATGATTAAGATCATTACTCATGATTAAGATCATTACTCATTAGTAATAAAATCAATCCATTAATATAAGAAATCTGTCTCATTACTGTAATGGCTAAATGAATCTTCTCTTCTATGTTTGCATCCTTCCTTTGCTTTTTATCCGTATGTTCCATCTTTTCTTCCTTGGAGCTGTTCCTTGAATTGCTATCCGACACATTTTTCGTTTTCGAATTGGCTGATCTTTCCATCGAAGACTTACTCCTTTCCAACTCTCTAAACTTATTTTGTAAACTTATCTTTTCACTTTCGCAAATCAGCAAGTCCTCCTCAAGCTTTCTGTGCAATAACAGTAAGTGATAATAAGGTGACAATAACGTGATCAAGGATCAGTCAATCAAAACTTTCTTTGCGTCACCACGAAGTTTACGTACATTCTTTTCGAGTGCTCATCGGACAAGAAGTTCCGCTCCATTGAGACTTTGTGCAGTTCCTGTTGCAAGCTTCTTACTTTAGTTCTTAGTTCTCTCCTCTTGTTTAGGCTAATCATCATTTCTCTAAATTTTACAAGAAGATGAATTGTTGATTTTTAAAGATGAGGAACATAAATGTCAAACAATCTTACTGGAAATGAATAGACGATATTTAAATACCTTTTCATCACACTTATGTACGTTATAAGGGTACCAGTATCATTTGTTTTCTCGATCATCTCGTCTACAGCCCCTGTACTGGCTTCAAGCAGTATTTGTATACTTAAACAAAAAATACACTTAAAATTACATATATTATATGTGATGCATAATATATACATGTTTACATGTATGTACTACATGTAAATAAATTATAAAGTATAGTATAAAACGTATACAGTTTATATAGTATAATATTGTCACATAGTATAGTTACATAGTATAAATATAATATAAGAATAATATAAAACAAAACGTTATAGACGTTTCACTTACTTTTTGTACTCTTCAATTCTTTTGTGCAACCTCTCGATTTCTTTCTTTCTGCTATCAGCTTCTAAATTTTGCTCCTTGAAAAACTTGATTTGCTCTTTAAGGGCATAAATAGCACTGGTTTTTTCATTCACTATACTCTCTGCTTTCTTCACCTCCTTATTCAATTCTTTATTCTGTTTCTCCAAAATTTCATTCTTCTCTATGTAATGCTTAACTTCCTTCTCTTTCAACATAAGCTGAAAACTCAATTTATCAACTTTGTCTTGTAACGAGCACTTGTCCTCGACAATGGAGTCGTTATTAGCAAAATTGAAGTATAATCGATGAATCTTATTCAATGTAGTCTTCTCCCTGCATTGCGGGCAGGTTTTGGATCTACGTGGAGAAAAAAAAAAGAGAAAAAAATTGATACATTCACAGGGACAACCGAAATGTAAACATTGCGTAAAGAAGAAAGAAAATCGATATATTTGGAGGAATGAGCGAAACGCAAACATCGTGCAACGAGACACGAAGACAATTTCGTTCGAAGGTGTCGTACGTTCAATCAAAATTCATCAATTAAAAGCGAAAACTTTTCTCTTACCTCTGCAGCCACTGAGTCACACAATGAAAATGAAAAATATGCCCGCATGGCGCGTGAAAAATGTCATCGATAGGCGTTAGTAAATCACTGCATATCACGCAAACAATATTCATTTTATACAGGATCGACACAATCGATCAAACACAGAACTCTCAAATAAGCACACACATATATTTCCCAGAGCAAGGTTTTTTCTCGAGTCCACTGTCTCATGTAGCTGAAACTCAGCCGAACTGATCGGGGTGCGAGGCAAACTGTAGTCTGTGTCCCTCTCTTTACAAATCCTCTTCCGCTGGAGAAAAACCCTCCCCTATTGCTTCAATTATTTCTCTTTTCTGCGGACACTGTACAAGCAACACCAATTATTTAAATAACGTAGTAAAAGTTCTGCCTCTGCTAACCAAAATATGACAAAGTAATAATTGGATTGCGTATTTTTATGTAAATTCGGATCTTTGAGACTACAGCTAAATATGGATAAGTAATTGTTTCACTTACCAAAATATTTATATAAAAACCACCCTTTCAGTATTTTTCACATATGTATATATATATTTTTTTGCGCTTTAAAATTTGCGTAAAATTCTAATAATAAATTAACCAATTAACGGGATCCCAGTGTAGTCACGAATTACCTGAAAATGATCTTTCCTAAGTAAATTACTTTAAAACCTGAATTATAGGTTATGACAATGTGTGTCGCCGCTTTATATAGAAAAGTATTTTCCCATTGAAGATTAAAGTAAATGTGAGTAATAAAAGTAGTCTGAAGACCGTGAAAGAATCAGTTGATAACGGCAGGGAAAGAAAAGAAGGGAGGGAGAAAAGATTCAAAATCGAGTGGCCCGTAGGAAACAAGGATTCGGCTTAACCTAATTGTACTTCAATATTTTTCACACAAATAAGCTCATATTTCATACAATGAGTTACCTTGTGACCGTTCAATTTCAAGGTTTAAACAAGGTTTGAGTTTCTAACCTAGAAAATTCATATTATATATGAATACGAAATAAAACTACATGAACCGTGTTGTTTACACGATACTAGTATAGCGATATATATATAATAATCTCTAATATTTCATACAACGAAATATTCGCCTTGTGAACCGTTTATCAATCTCAAAAAAAAAGTGAGAGTTTCTAACCTAAAAAATTCGAAAATGAATACGAAATAGATCCGTGTCGAATCATTGGTCGAATTAACCGTTGTTCATATGGCGCTATCTAGCGACGTATATACAAATATATCTTTCGAATGTTAATTTTTCAAAAAATCGAGGAATCGATTCGCGATCTCGACGTGCTCTCGAGATATCGCGACCAACGTGAAACGTTGGTAAACGAGGAATACTTTTCGTTTAAAATTTCGAAACTCCGTGCAGTAAGTCCAATTTCTTGACTTGGACAGTCCTGTGATATTCGTCATTACGTAACTGTTCGCTCGTTGCGCGTTCCGCCGTGGGAGAATATTTTCACGTTCAGTTTCCTATCTGAAATAACGCTGTCGGTACACGTTCACGAAATTTCTAGAAGTGTCCCACATCCCCCCACCTCCCATCACTGTCACGTTTGTTTCTCTAGTAATTTCGAGTTTCGCGTGGAGGTTTGCGGTTTTCACGTTATTTATTTATTTGTTCGTAACACAAGGTTCGATGTTCAACGTGCACATCTTTCAGAGACAATCAACCCACCGCGAAACAATGTGCTGAATATCGAGATCGACGAAGTCGCAAACTCTCGACAGTCGCGCTGTAAATAAATAAAAGTCCGAATCTCCAATCGAAATTTCGAAACGGTCTTTCGAAAATTTTGGTAAGTGAGGTATAGCTTGAGATGTTACGTAAAATATTTGTTATCCTCTTCTAGTGAAGTTACATGATTAACGAGTACGAGAATTACAGGTTATGTTCCTCGTGCATCTGTGCCTCGCTCAAAGTTTCCACGAGATTGAGAGTCTGCTGTTTCTTCGCGATCTTTGTTATTCCTTCATTAATTTTTCATTCAGTTCGTATTACGTCACGAATTTAGCAATTTTCGAAAGAAATTGGAACGTATTCTGTTTCGAGAAAAAAATATTTGTGTTGCATAGAAAAAAAAGAGTAAAATTCGTTCGACTTCGTTTGCCAACGTTTAATGTATCTCCTTGCTTCCTTGTAACCTGAGGATCCTTAGTTTTGCTCGTTATTAAATAGACAATGAAGTTAATTCTCTGTACTACTAGTTATCAATTTCTGAAGTCAGTTACATTTCATTTATACAGATTTTAGTTATCGTGCCTTTGTTGTTGTTCGATATGTTGTTCTATGTTTCAGGAGTAATTGTTTATTTTAATTAATACATTTGGACGTTGTTGCATTGTAATTTTTTAGTTCTTGAGAAATGGCCAAGTGGGGTGAAGGAGATCCCAGGTGGATCGTTGAAGAAAGGCCTGATGCCACCAATGTAAATAATTGGCACTGGTATGACAAAACTTTTAATCTACACGTTTTGTTCTAGAGTTATATATATCACTAATAAACTTTAGATTGTGTATATATATATATATATATATATATATATATATATAAAATAAGCAAAATGAAGTTTTATATAACATAGAGACTAATTGCAATTAATTTGCTACATATCAAATTAGATTTTGGTACTCTATTAATTGTAATGAATTCATGATAATTTTATTTTTTTTAAGGACGGAGAAAAATGCCTGTACTTGGTCCCAAGAAAAAATAAAAGAATTATTTACCAATATGAAGATGGAAGGAGATAATGGTTTGCATTTATTTTTTGTTTATTATCATTATATTGTCATTAATAATTTATATAATTATTTAATAGTATAGTATCATATACATGTAAAATTTCACATGCAATGTAAATCAGAGTGTTTCTTTTAGTTTCCTGTAAAGTAAAAGAAGTAGAGAAATGTGAAGGTGAGGCAATGGCAAATAATCGAAAAGGTAAATTAATTTTCTTCTATGAATGGAATATTGTTTTGAAGTGGGTATCCAACAAAAAATCTGATAAGAAGATTGAGGGTAAAATAAACATTCCAAATCTCTCTGAGGAAAATGATATTTCTGAAGTAGATGTAAGTATTTAAGAGTATTTGAGAGAGAGAGAACAAAAGCAAAAATATACTAACTTTAGGTTCATGAACTTTAATTCACTAATGTTGATTGCAATATGTAATTTAGATTTTTTTTTATAAACACCTTTTGTTACTTAATGTTTAATTTAATGAAGTTTTTGTGAAAATATTTGAAATAATATAAAAAAACATTAATTTCTTTACAGATTGAAATTACTCTAGAAGATAGTACAGACGAAGGTGAAGCAGTAAAACATTTTCTACATACAAAAGGAAAAGAATTTATTAGGGATAAATTAAAAAAATATGTCTCTTCCTTAAAAGAAGGTATACTTATATTATATTAATGTTGTAGCACATTGAAATAAAAATTTAGTTTCACTAAAGTGTAAAAATATAAAATAATTGATAAAATTAAATTTGGTACTAATGTGGTTTTTTACTTTATTATTAGAATTCACAGTCGGAATGATTTTACCCAAAAAAGATAATGTAAAAGAAAATATTTCAAATATCACTTCTGGATTCAATGCAAAAGTAAGTATAAGAATGATTTATGTTAATCCGGGATTACCCACCTGGGGGTCTAGCGCAGGTACATCCCGGCGACTAGACCCCCACGTGGGTAATCCCGGGTTAAGTGTATCATATGTATTAGATTCAAGAATTTCATTAACCATTTTATAAATAATTGTTATAGATGCAAATGAATTCTACTATAGTATCATCGAATAATAAAAAAGAATTGGGATGTAAAATTTCCACGACGACGATTAAGCAACAACAGAAGTTTCAGTGCAGAGCCGAAGAATTTTACAACGTATTTACAACAATTGAAGTAAGTCTGTTGCGATAATTAATAACACTTAACTAAATTAAGATCAACGAAAATCTTAAAATGTTGTCGATTACGATGTATTTTATTTCTTACATTATAATTTTTTATTATCTCATCATACTCATTTCTTATATTATATCATCTCATCATACTCATTTCTTATATTATAATTTTTTATTATCTCAGCTACTTCGCTCTATCTATAAAATATTATGAGTAATCGATATTTTATTGTATATGATAGAGTTATTTATATTATAGATAATGCATGCTGTTATTTATAGATAATATTACTTTTAAATAGTTCTGTTCTATGACATTTCATTTGAAATTCAATTAATTGAAAATGTGTGCGCATTTATAGAAATTAATGACTAATAATTCAATCGTGTTAAACATTGAGGTGTAAATTGATAAATGAGAGAAAATAATATGAATTGACATAAATGTGAGAAAATAATATGAATTTTCAATGTTCAATATATATTTAAGATTTAAGATTTTTGGTGTTCACATTATTTCTTGTTTTCATCTTTTATTTTCACAATTTTGATTTATCGATTTTATTTGTAATTTGTTTAAAGATCATTAAGAAACTTATTTGAAGTTTATTAAATATTTAAAAAAAAAGTATAGGATGAAACCTATAAAATCTTTCTTTTTTCTAGAGAAATGCAACAGTAACCTGAATAATAAAATAAAAATTTTTCAAGTATGAAAAACAGACAGAATGGTTAAGATGATTGAATAATTGTTTTTAGTTTTATATTTCTTTGATCTATTTTGTGTAATCTTGTAACAATTCCTCATTTCATGGATCTTGTTAAGAATCTTATAATTCGACATGCTTCTGATGGAAATAAACACTATGACTTACTATTCATAGAGAGGTACAATATAGGACTTGTACTGTTAGTGAGTACTAATTGAATTTTATTTTTAGTAATAAAAAAAATTCTTATGAGAATAATAGATTATAATTTCATATGTTTTTAAAGTTTACAGCATTTATAGGTATAAGTAATTGCAAGATTCTTTTTTGAAAAATTTTTATTAAATTTAGCTTTGAAATAAAAGAATTTCAAACTGAAAAATTCATGTGTTACACAAAAGATATATTTCGAAGAATATTTATCCTATGTTTTAGATTAGGTTTTAAATTAAAATTATTATACCTTTGAGTGATATTAATTATATATTAGTTTTAGATTTTTATCTCAGAATATAATAAATTTCTCAAAGAGTAATAACAAAATGCAGGGAAAATATTTTATCTTTTCTACATAAAATTTAAAGAAATAAGATTGATTTTTTCACCTCATCTTAAAAACGTAAAAAAAGTATTTAATAAATTCTATATACAAGTTGATTGAAGTTATTAAAGAAATTATTTGTAATACAATGTTTTCTTTCAGATGGTTCAAGCATTTACAAAAGGACCGGTGAAGCTTGAACTGAAAAAGGGAGGCAAATTTGAATTATTTGGTGGTAATATACATGGCGATTTTATGGATATAACGCCTACGAAGATTGTTCAAAAATGGCGTTGCAAACAATGGCCTGATGGCCATTATAGTGATGTTACTATTGACATTTGTGAAAAAAATGACCATACTGAAGTTAATTTAACACAAGTGGGTGTACCAGTTAGGTAAGTAAACTCTACCTTCCATTTCGTAGTATTTGACTTAATATGTAACGTGTAATATTCAGAAATATTTATTCATTTGCAGTGAGGAAGAATCCACAAAAGAGAATTGGGAAAGGTATTATTGGGATGCTATAAAACGTACATTTGGATTCGGTTATTTTATGTGATCTACGTATGTTTTAAAGTTTGCTTGCTTACTGATAAGTAGAAAAATAATTAAAACTTGTACTGTCGTAAATCGCCTCGCATACCATTTACGAACTAGCCGCATAATAATCAGCCACGTACAAAAACTGTTTTCCGTCACAATGCTAGTTACAATTCTTTTTTCTTTCCCTACCCTTTCTATTTAGTACATTACATCGTATAAGCGTGACAATTGTGTCGTTGCTTGAACATAAATGAACCATTACCAACGTGATACATCTGTATTAATAGTTGTATATGTCAAATAAACCATGTCACATATTTAAAGATTCAGCTTTTCTTATTTTCAACCTTCGAACACATTAAAAGGATTGGAATTGATTAACAAAACTCGAGAAAATATGTAGATTGTACTACTTCAACCTTCTTTTTTCGGACGAGAGGAAAAATGCTTTTACGCATAGCCATCGGTTATGTGAGACTCGTCCAAGTGTCTAGATGTTCTTCAAACATTCACCTCCACTGCTTGGTTTCGCATTACTTCAAGAAATGGTTTTGGAATTGGTATCTTTCGCATTCATTTGTAAACTCTTAGTGAAAAATTTAATGAAATTCTTTAGAACTTGTGAAAAATACAGTTTCATTTAATTTCCAGTGTTTATTAATAACATATACATATATAGATAAAAATATGACTAAAAAGTTATTTATAATTATTGGATAAAAATATGTAAAGAGAGTTAATTACAATTATCTGCAAGCGTTATCTTTGTAAATTCTGTTCATAATTCAAGCATTGATTGAATGAGATAAGTTTTACCGCTAATAGACTGAATAAAATGTTTTGCGAAATATATTTTATTCTACTAGGAATAACACATACATATACAAAAATATGAAACAAAAGACGCGTTTGATTATATTTTCATTCTGTTGCCAAAGGAGATTGGATTATGCTAATGTTTCTCTCATTAATTACAAGCAAAGATATTGATTTACTCATTCTAAATGGTCTTTCAGTTCAATCCAGAGGTTGGGAGACTGAAACCGATCGTGAGTGAGATATAATTATTTCTGTGTTGACACATACTCTCAATATTTCTGACAGAACTGAATGAAACATCAAATATCATCAATTTAATGGTATATTGACGTTTAGAATAAATCCCGGATTGTTTTTTAGTCGACTAGTTCCATCATGCTTATGCAAGAAGGCATCGACATCCAATATATTCCAAGTTCGATTGATCAATCAGTAACTGCCCAACTTGACGACGTTCACATATATCCTAGATTCATCGAGTTTAACGAGGCTAGCGAAGGGATTACTTGCCAGCGGCGTATCACTATTAAGAATACTGGGAAAAAACCAGCTTTTATTAAAGTTCATCAGGCCAAGTCAATAGTTAGTCAGAGTTACTTGTTAAGTTAAATTATTTCAAGAATAAGGATACCTTTCCTTTTCAATTTTAATTACTGTCTTTAAACAACAACAACAAAAAATATACGTATTACTTTTCAGTCGTTTCAAGTGAAAAGCTTAGACAAAGGAGTAATTTTAAATCCGGGACTAAATATAAGCACGGTAGTCACGTATTCTTTTAGGCGACCGTCTTTGTTAAGCACAGTAATACCAATTGAGGTCAACGGGAAGATCCTTGATTATCGTGTCATTTGCAAATTACTGAACGAAGGCATCGACGTCGAGCCAAAATCAATTGACTTTGGAATTGTTGACATCGGCTATTCTTCTGGCATTAAAGTAATCACCTTGAAAAACAAAGGTGGCCAAAGCACCAGGTAGTATATAATTATACTTTTGTTCATAGGAAAATTGCATTCACAATATTGCCAACCTATTGTTTCAATCTGAAATTACTTCGTTTATTTCGTTTTTTCTTTCTTTGTAATCCATTTCTTTTTTATATACGCATACGTGTGTTGTTAGACTGTATTATGTTTATTAACACGAAATCAACAGATTTTCGATTGATCTTGGTACAAATGATTTAGAAATCACAGTTCAACCCATGCGTGGGATCGTTAAGCCAAATAAGCCAGTTCAGTTAACCGTCGAATTAATCGGCATGAACGAAGGCTCGTTCTTCTGTGAATTTTGGTAAGTTTCTATCATTTTATTTTACATTTGTAATTAAACTCCAGACTCGCGTGATCGATGTTGTACTTTCGAAAGAGCGATCGCAAGGATGATTTTATTTACGGAGAAGATATACCATGTGTAAGTAAATACTTCGCGTGAAGTGTCTATTTATTAACACAACGTATGATAAAATAAATATCGTGTAAAGGAACAAAAAGGAAAGATCGAAATGGTCATTCAATCTATTATTATCAATATTTATTTATTATTCGTGCCCGGAAGGGAACGGTGCTCGACTTTTGGTTATATTTCTAGTACATTAATTAAGAATTTAATTCAGGCCTTGAACAATAACAATTTTCATAAATATCACGAAAATTTAAGCGTGTGAAAACTATTGTAAGCTTTTCGTTTTCAGGATCAAATCAGTTCCGAATATACGTATCCCTTTCAACGTTAAAGTGATCGTACCGAAGCTGGTGATTTACCATCCGAATGCAACCGGCGATTTCACCCTGATTGATTTCTCGGGGACCGTTGTCAATACTCGCAAGTACGATTCGTTCGTTTTGCGAAACATCTCCTCGCAAGTAGCCAGCTACGTCGTGCTGGGCGAAATTGACAACGAACTCGTATGCGTTCGGGTAATTCATTTTAACAAGAAATGAAGATTGAGGAATTTTAATCACTGTGCTTCTTTCTTTTTCTTCATAGAACATTAATCGTAAGAAATATCCGGTGTACAGAGTTTTCAAAATTCGGCCGATTCAAGGGCGTATCGGGCCGTTCGAGGGCATTATTTTTGAAGTAGGGTGAGTCACATCTTCGACAAATATAAATAAATTTTTTAATAAATATTCTTGAAAGTACACGAAGTTATTTATTATCCTTATTCACGAGGAGAAAAGAGAGAACGCACTCACCGAACGAATAGCATATTATTTCAGATTCACGCCAATGGAGAGTTCAATGCAATGGCGAGAGACAGTGGGAAAGAAATCGAGCGGACGCGAGAGGGATCTTATGGCGTTTCTAAGAATCGTCCGAGTACACGTCACTGAAACCAAACACATTTTGAGTACATTGTATTTCCTACATCCTTTCACATGTGTTTACTGTAACAGAGACGAATTAACAAATTCTGTTATCGAGAAATGTGTGTGCAGGGGCTAACGAAAGCATACGAGACGAGCTGATGGAGGCGCTGCAACCTGTGGACAATCTCCGAAGTTAGTATAAGAGAAATTGAAATTGTCAAATTGTTTCACATTTAATCACGTTTTAGTACCACGCAGCTAAATCTCAGTTAGTTTCGTTTAAAATGTTTTCCAATATACCACAAACACATATAATAATATTAAAATATTAATAATATATATTAATAATATAATAATATAGTAAATTGTTATTTTGAACAAGTTATAATTACTTTATTTACATAAAAGTTACATAATATTGTGAAACAGTATATGCATTTGTGATATATTGGAAAATATGTTGTTTGATAATTTAATTCGTTTAACTTGAAAATAGTCTAACTATCAAAAGTTCATTTTTCTACTGTGAACACTGTTGCTTGACTGTCACCCTAATATGGATAACGAGGCGATCAACGTGTTAAATAGCCCCTGTTAATAAAATTGCGTATGTCGATAGGGACCTTACCGATTATAGACGACTGGTCCTCGTCATCGTCCACCGTGTCCACCGTGGATTCTGGCCCGAACGACACCGTGAGGCTTTGCCTCTACGGTGAGATGGAATCGGCACGTTTGAACTTCCAACCGGACACGATCTACTTCGGAGAGCTTCGCGTCGGCGAGGACTCGCGGCGCGTCCTCCGTATATCGAATCCGTTGAAGTTCGTGCCGTTACTCTGCACTTACGTGCGCAACGCGTCGACCAGTTGCTGTCCAGAGACAATGACCTTGAGACCAGAGGGATCCGTGGAAGTACTGTTGAAAGTTCGAGGAAAAGAAAATGGTGGAAATTAAAACACATTCTTCATCTTCTTTTTTTTTCCTTTTTCTCCATTGCATTTATTTGTGAAAAAATTATAAATTTCAAATCAGGAATAAATTTTTTTTCTTTTTTTTGAAGATCAATGATTTTTAGAAAAAACTTGTCTCTTTCGTTTTTCAGTTGATCCGTCGTTCGAGATTTACTTTGATGCGGCGGCAAGTTCGTGCGAGTCGACAATAACTAGACGTCGAACGATGATAAAGGTAGGAAGGTACGCCGTGCAATGCAGGGTGAATGTGAAATTGGTGACAAGTATAAAGGGAACGTGTTTGTCACGAGGACGAAGTACTTTTGGTAATTATTATTGTATTAAGAATAATTACACGTATGTAATCACATACTGTGACAATCGAATCCCGTATTGCAAATTCTTTTAATTTTTCCTTAATTTTATTCATATTTTTGGAATTTCTATCAGCTTGTTTTTAAACAGTAATAGCTAGCTATAGTAGGAATTTCTAAATATTTTTGAATAATATTTGAATATTTGTAAACAATTAAATATCTTAAATAATATTGTAAGATTGTATTAATAATTATATTAACATATATTTTATAACATTATTAAATATTTAAAAAGAAAGAATTAATTAAAAATGATTGTTTTTTTACAGATGCTTGGAAAACACCGTCTCCACAACTTTTCCCAGTAAGCTTGTTGTTTAATTGATTTGTCCTTCTTGGTGAATTATGGAGTTGTACCGTAATTTCGAAAAGGCTGTGGTTTGCTTAAGTATTTTACTCTTAGATAAAACCGAGAACGGTCGAATCAAAGAAAAAGATGGTTGTAATAAAATGCAAAGACGACGAAGAGGAAATTCTGCAAAGAGTTACTCATATTCCTAAGTGGAAATACAAAAATGTATCAGAAACGGTGAAATGCGCCACGACTTTAGACAAAAAGATATCAGCTTTAACGACAAGCACCTCGGTGTTAATACCCCTCTCTCCTTTGCAAATATATAACATACGAATGTATCCCATTCTGTTTGCCTTTGGAATGGTAAGCACTCTATCAAATTTTTTTTTTTTATTAATCATCTCCCTTAATCTCCCCCATCTTCCAAAAATTTTAATAAACAATTGATCATAAAATGTTGTTAATTCGAATTTTCACCCGGTAAATTCTATTTGTAGGTAATTTCTCTGAACGACTAATTAAGAAATAAAATAAAAACTATAATTCGTCGCAGGTTGTTCCAAGAAGCCGCAACTACAAACAGCTGGTCGTGGAAAATCTGAACGATTTTCCAATCATGATCCGCCTGACGAGCTTATCCGCCAGACGCATACACTTCCCAGAGGGGAATTTGATCATTTTACCACCAGGTTTACACGCCACGCGATTAGTCGAATTTCGAGCGCATCATGTTGGCAAATTCAACGGCTACATCGATTACATTATCAACGATAATCATTCGTTCGAGCTTGCTGTCACCGCTAACATCGTTGAGAAACAATTATCGTTGGATACTCGCGAGATAGTACTCGGCCGAGATTTGTTCAACGAAGAGATCTATCAACCGATGGACTACGTTGTTCAAGTCAGGAATAAATTGGACGCGAGAACAAACTTTCGGTAGGTTAACAAAAATAAAATAAAATGAAATGAAATGAAATAATCTTGTCATTAAAAAAAAAAAAAAAAAAAAAAGACGGACAGAAAATCTTATTAAAGAGTATTTTCGATCAGATGGGAAGTACCTAGTACGTGTTGCTTCTTCGTCGAGCCAATGTCAGGCGTAGTTCGTGGGAAGGCTTCGTTGTTCACTTACATATACTACAAGCCGGACTTTACAAGATCCAGCTCTACAGAATTGATAATGAAGTGCGAGAATAATAGTTACAGCAACTTGCGTGTAAGTTTGCTACCGCAGACACCGAAGGTCAATTTTATCAAGAATCTCATAAACGTGGGTGAAATTCCATTGAATCTGCCAACGAAAACAGTCGCTTTCTTGAGAAATTTCGAACACATTGAAATCGAATTCGAGGTCGATGCTTCGTCGTTGATTCATGGATGCAACGTTCAGCCACTTCACGGGGTATTGGCACCTCGTGGAATTGTTGTTCTTGAGGTATATTTTGTATAAATAATCGTTGCATATTTTATATACTGTGCCCATTCTAGTCCCCACGTAATTCTTGGAATTGGGATTATCTCACTCTACCTTACCGTACGATCTGCCGAAGGCCACTTGCACAATACAAAGCGAGTGACATCTGATACATATTTCGGCACAATTCGCAAAATACGTCCCCTCACGCTTAAATGGCAACTACTGTATACTTTTCCTCCACTCTCAAATTTCCTAGAATTTCGTCATTGCAGATCCATTTGACGTTCAGCCTGTGTTTCCAATTCACCGTGGCGATTCGCGTGACTGTGCAGAAACGTTTGAACGTTCAGCTGAAACTGACAGGGAACGTAGCATTCCCGCAGTTGAAACTGCACCCGAGTTCCATTAATTTACGACGATTGAGCGCCTCTGCGTATAAACATTGCCTGATCACCGCGTCGAACGTCGGGTCGACGATGTTGAAGCTGAGATTTCAATTAAAGGAGTACCCGGAATTTCGCGTTTCGTTGTCCTCGCGGAGACAAGACCCTGGAATAGGTCTGTTTCAATTTACCACTCCTTTTTGTTAAAGTCACTAAAATATTTATTATTTATTAATATCACGCTCTTTATATTGTGATGAAAGCACTATTTGATCTTCCGTGAATACACGCTTATTAACTATTAAACTATTATACATTCTTAATAAACTCTTTATACTTTATCTCTAACCACGTTACACACGACACGACGATTACATTGACAGAGCCTTTGTTACTCTGGATTCCTTTGTCTGCTAATATATATATTGAAGGGTTGAAGAAGTGTGTTGATTGTGCGAGGATAAAGGAATGAGTGAAGGTAATGTAGGAAGTGGGTAAGGTGAGGAAAAGTTGTGCATTTCGTCTCTGAGTCGCTGCCTAGACTCATCAGTAGGGCTCTGATGGCAGCGACCCCTTACCCCAGACGCTTGTTATAACTACTCTCTAGGCTGGACGGTCGGTCACCCATCCTAGCGGTGTTCTGCATTCTGCTTAACATTGAAGATCGCTAGACTTCAACGCTAGGCGCACAGCCACTTGTGGCTTGTACAAATCGGTGTTTGAAACTCGTACTTGAGGGACTATAGGCCGCTACATATATATATATATATTCACACTAATGATTATCCTAATTATACGTAGGATGGCGACACCCATCTGTGTCCTACCATAAGACAAATGGACTATATACCTAACACTTTTTAATAATCAACGCAGGTAACGAGGACATTTCAATCGCTCCAAACACCAGTCAAGACTTTTATCTTCACATCGAGCCAGTCGACCTGGCTACCTACGCGTTTTACCTTCCGATCGTCGTCAACGACATACTTGGCCCGGCGTTAATTACAAGCCACAAATCCCTCAAGCCTCTGGAATACTTGAAGCAATTCAAAAGCCACTATGCTGACGTACCTAATCTCATTATGCGCAAGTTACCATCTGCTATCGTGACGATGCCGATCGACTGCACGGTCACTGGACATCTGTTGTTCTTTAACAAGTTCGAATTTCGTTTCAACTTTCTAACGAACAACGTAAGCATAGAAACATACATAAGAAACAAATACATAAAACACATAAGAATGTATAACATTTAAATTTTAATTTCAAAGCAGTCGGACCAATTCTGTATAGAGAATCGCGAATCGTTAGAGGAGAGGTTCGTTCGAATCGATACCAGCAGTTTTTCCACTGCTTCCTGTCCATTTTCTATCCAGTGGTTAGACGGCCGAGAACCAATTGTGACATCGGATCACGTTCAATGCGCATTGCGAAAGGGAGAACGATGCAGATTTCTGCTAACGTTTCGACCAAAGTTCCAAGGAAATTTCATCGTCGAAGCACCGATCTTTATCCGCGACGAGTCGAACGGCGAGATGTTTAACAAACTGTGCCTAATTGGCGAACGTCCCGCGAGCACGATTGAAGCTGAGTTTTCCGAGATATTTTTCACACCCGTGCCTCTAAATACCTCGCTCGAGAAGAAGTTTCGACTGTACGTCAGGCATTTTGAGAACGATGCTGTTATTTCGGCGAAGACTCTATCGCCTGAATATTGTAGTGGAAAGTTCACGACGGATAACGTTCTCCTTGTTCATTTTGTTGATACAAATGTTGTGCATGCTTCTGAGTAAATATTTCTATATTATATAGTATATTATATAAAAGTCTATATATTGTATTACAGATAGTATAGATATATATCGTAGATGGTATTGTAATATAGATTATAAATAGTACATACAGATAGTATCATAGATATAGATTATAGATAGCACACATAGATAGTGTTATATGGATAAATATAGATATACTGGGTGTCCTATTTTAATCTATAAATGCAATAATCTATAAATGAAATTATTCGTCATTTAAAAAATGTCTCAAATGTATTTTTTTCTATTTTGGGGAGGTAATAATTACACTTACAATTAGTTTATCTACAGACAGATATAGGAGATATAAAGGTCTATTATTTTTTCAAGTATAATTATGTGATTTTTGTTTACGTCATCGACGTAGTCGGAAAGCTATTAGCTAATTTTATACGCAGATTTAAAAAATATCTCTTAGTAGACAAGTAAATACTTTTTTATGGAGAACGATTTGTGCAAAATCGTCGATTGATGCAAAAAAAGAATTATTCATACTTGAGAATCTATCTATAGGCAAACTAAGTGCCGCTTTCTAAAAACAGAAAGAAATGCATTTGAGACATTTTTTTAAATAATTCATTTTTTTGAATAATTTCAGAGATAATTGCACTTATAGATTAAAATGAGATGTGTGTATAGATCGTATTACATAATGTATACATTTATTATATATTATCATTATTATAGTATATATTATATATAGTAGTATCATTATTATAGTATATATTATATATAATATAATACATTTATATATTATATATTACATTATAGTATTACATTCTACATATAATATTACATAATATACAGTATTATATAGCATATAGTATCATATATGTGTAGTATATTTCGGAGTGAATATTTTGACAGTAACTATAATCATTTCTTTTCGCTAGATACACGGAACTGGAGGTGAGAGTGGCTTTTAAAAGCGGGGCGCCTGTCTCGCTTCGCGTGATCGTTGAATTTTCCGACGACAATGGAATTGCTGTTTCCCCCGTGGCGATTCACGCCACTTCTGAAAATTGTTTATTGACCACGCACGCGTACGTGAGGAACTCGATGATCGATCTTAAACAGTCAAGCATCGATAGGAGAACACCTCGGGTTTCCAGAACGTCTGAAATTTTCACCGACGACGAAGATTATAATGTAGATATTCTGAAACCGGTAAGTAAATGTGCGTTCATTCATAATTTCATTAGTACCGTAATAAATGGACAAGTATCAATCGAACTGATTGTTACCAGCTGCACCAATGAAACTTTTACCATTTTTATGCGAAAATATTATATACGTGTTTTTTTTTCTTTTTTTTTTTTTAGGATCTATCGAAAATAGGTGTTCTAACTTATTTCGGCCGAAAGAGTCAGATCTCGGACGAGAAATTAATCGAGGATAGATTTAAATTCTACGAGTCCCTCGACGAGAGGGCCAACGTCGACAAACCAGAGCGAGAGACGAAGAAGTATCTGCCGGACATTTCGAAACGAGATTCGAAAGTACCCGCCACGGTGTCTAAGACGAAATACGAAGACGCTCAAGAATCGTTGCGGTATCCATTTTTTCCTTTCAACATCGACGACGAGTGAGCAGATGCTTCTCCTTGTATAGAATAGGCCAAAAATCACTTCCTGCTAAGATAAATCCGCAATTTTCTTAAATTTCTTTTCCCACGGGTTAAAAAAAACAGCAACTACATTTGAACTTAAATTTAATTTGAAATCAATAAAATTAGCTTTTTTCTTATATTTTGATGTTTCATTGAAAAAAGAAAAGAATAGGTGGGAAGAAACTTTTGGCCCCACCCTGTATATTTTGACGTTTAATCGTGAAATATTACTTTCAATCGCCCAGTGAATTCGAGATTTATATAAATCAAACGCTGAAAGCCGCCGAAGAATGGATGCACAGCGAAGCTTTTAAATTCAATTTCTACGCTGACGTTACGTGTATCAAAATGGTACTGTCTAAGTATTACTCGAAGAAGCCAGCACAGTTCAAAACCACGACGCGAAAAGGGCCCGAATTAGGGTTCGTCGGCGTGCTCGAATCGTTGATAGGGCCAACAATTTATGAACATATTGGACAATTGTGAGTAACTATCACAAAGTTAATAATATGATAGAAATCTGATGAAATGTACTTGTCATCGAGTTGTTTTTGTTACGACAGCAAAGAACTGCCAGAAAAAGACATCGACAGAGTAAATTACATATGCAATCTTTACGACAGTATTCTTCAATTTTTGACAAAACACGGAGCTCACTTGTGCCACGTTCAACCACAATTTTTGCTGGACTACGAAGAATATATTGTTTTCTTGGAAACGATATATTCACGCTCTAAAGTAAGGATAGTTTATATTACACATTTATAACCGTGTCTTTTGGATATGTAAATGAATGAAAGCAAAATTTAATTAATACCTGACTTAAGAATCATTTTATTTTTAAATAATTAAATAAATAATTAAATACTTAATTTAAATAATATATTTAAATAATTAAATACTATATTTAAATAATTAATCATCATTTGTTCCCTGCAGCCCTATACATATATACGAAAATCCGGAATAGAATTGTCAGTGCAAGAAAAAATGTCGCCTCTGAAGTTTGAACATCGGAGCAAACAGTGTTGGCTAGATGTGATCTTGCAAACGTATAAATGTTTCATACTGCCATGTGTTTCCGAGATCAAAGACAAGGAAGACCCTTCTCCTATGTTCTCATCGCAATCATCCAGACGATCTACGATCCAGCGAGCATCCGTAATATTTTTTCCATCGAGGTTCGTATAAATATTTTCTATTTTTATATTTTTATATTTTTATATTTTATATATATATATATAATTCCATGGAAACGAACGATTTGACGAGTATCTATTCGAATTCTCCAGTTTCCGCAAGCAATACGAAGCTCACAACGTGATTGTTGACAACATTAACATAGAAATTTCGTCCAAACCACCTGACGACAACTACTCTTTCGACGAGTTGTTCCTGTTGGAATGGTTGCACCACCATTACGAAAAAGAACGGAAACAGGAATGGATGATCGACCGTCGCGTAATACTGAATCCGAACGAGAGCAGAGACGTGGCAGAGGCACGTAAAATCGAGAATTTCGACCGAGATTTGTCGGATTCCCTCGTGTTAATTGCTGTCACAGCTGCTTACTGTCCCTTCCTCATTGACGAATACTTGAGCAAGCTTTACATTCGTCCGCGGAGTTATGAGGAGGTAAATGCATAGCACGCATGTATATAATTGAGTGAATTGTTGAAAATAATTCAGAGAAACAGACACCGTACTGTTGTAAAGGCGCTGCACAATGCTGTATGCGTGACAAACGCGTGGAGAAAGATACGACTTGGCTTTGTCATTTCACCATTGGAGATCGTATATCCAAACTGCGTTAAAATGTTGATGCTGGTTGGATATTTGTTCGACATACTGCCGACTTACACTCCCAAAGGTAAGGTAAGTGAACGTCTTACACATACATTATTCAAGACCTCGTTTATCGAAGATAATAAAGTCAGAATATGTTTCTGAGTAAAGTCAAAACAATTGGTTTGATAAATTTACAAATTTCATCTTTACAAGAAAGTTAGTTGTTATAGAAATCTACAATTCAATGTTCCTAGATCAAATTTAACTGTCCCCTGTCCGAGACTGTGACCAGGCAATTAAATTTCACAAATCCCACCGTGCACAATGTCGGTTTCTTGATACTGTTTTTTGGAAACAATAACGGATTCTTTGCATTACCTTCGTCACAGATGATCATCAATCTCAGTGGCCGTGAAAATTCCACAATAAAGATACAATTCCACGCTAGGAAAATAAAGAAAACTAAAGGTACAACTTTTCAGTCAGTGGATAAAATTGATTTTGATTAAATAGTGTAATTGGCACATAGCACGTTCCACTCCATTTTTTTGTACAATGATATATATATATATAAGCTATTAAAAGACCGTTGGCATATACATTTAAAATTTAAAATTATTTAAAAAGAGTATCTTCTTTTAATAGCTTATTTGCTGTTTTGCGGGTCGACAATTGGCCCCCATTTTGGCAGGAATCAAACGTTCATTTTGGAAGGGCAAGCTGACTGTTTAGAAATTGCAAACGAATACACAATATGTAGTAAGCTGTACAAAGCAGTCGATAAAACTCTCACTATCAATGTGCCGTATAAAGATTCAACAGAATATGAAATTTGGGTATCGGACGAACGGCCAAGTAAACCGAGTAGGTGAACTTGAAGAATCATTGAGTGTAATATAACTCGTATTGTACAAGTGTTTACACGATTATTTTGCAGGTATTTTGAAACAGACACGATGGTGCGAGTTATGTTTAAGAAAGATACCTCGCAGATTATTTTTAAATCAAAATTCAATTATAGTCAAAGGAAGTACCAAAGTAGCTCATCTGTCAGTCACGGTGGCTTGTCTCTCTCCTAGTCATCGAAGCTTCTGGATCATTTTCCAATCAAAGATAGGCGATTTTATTATTCAAGTACGCAGTTAAAAGCGTGATATTAAAATAATAATCTAACGCGAAGAACCATTCGCCGAGAGCAATTATATCAGTTTATTCCAGAGTTACATAATTCCGGTTGAATTATATAACTCTGGAATAAAAAAAAGACATTAAACAGACATTGAAAACTAGTGCAAGAAACTGTATCATTAAATATTTGAATATTAATGAAAAGATTGGCGTTGGATAGATGTCTTTCTTTGCCGTGTTTTCTTATAAAACAAGTTCTGTCTCAATATCTAGGCATTTTCTAAGATTTTTTTTGCATAAAGCATTGCTTATACGTTCCACGGTATTCCAAAATTTCACGTGAAACTTCTTTCAAAATCTTTTAAAATTGCTCCAAAATAGCGTAGCAGAACATTAAATTAAACATTATATTATCTTTTTCCTTTAAATTCTTAACTTAAACATTAAATTATTCTTCATTCAAATAATACGTGATAAAACATTTTGGGAAACATCCTTGACACTTGTATCAAATTCCAAAGACAATGTACTAATTAATACGACCATTACATTACAACGTAGATAAACTCTCAATGGCAGTCGTCGTTAACCGATAATATCGTGGTCAATTGGGACGAACAGATTGAAAAATGTGTTTGCACGGAACAGGACTACAATGAAATATGTCCATTGAGCTTAACCGTGCCGATACCATCGAAGAACAAACAACTTTGGAGATGCGTGGCTCATATGTTTCAGAAAACTCTCGACCCAAAAGAACGACTTTTCTGGTCTCGATATTTAGGTATGTTTTGTTCGGCCGTACAACCAAGAATTGAACTTAGTTTGTAATAATCTGTCATGTGCCTTATTCTATGAAGATACGCCTATTGGATTACGTTTAATTCGTTGGCTAATGGGAGACAATGCGGACTCCGCTGTTGCAGAGTTTTGCCATATATTTGACGCGACAGTGACTTATAACGTGACGATATCCGAAATGCCTCATATTCTCCGATTTCCCAAGACATTTACTATAAACGGTTAGTATAAAATATGAGAAAAGAATGACATGTCATTTCAATAAAAAAAAAAAAAAAAACTCAAGTCAAGATATCAAAATCAAGTAGGTATTCAGGAGTTTACTTTAAAGTTTTCTAAGTTAAAAAAAAACTTTAGTTTAAAAAAATGTTTAACTCAGAAGCGAGATTGAGATTAATTATTGATATAAAAATTTACGCCATTTAGAACGAGAAAGATAAATTAAAATTATTTGATTTAGATGTGAGATCTGCTGAGAATGTTCCAATGAAGATACACGTTTCGCCATTCGTAGATCGACTGTGCGAAATAATACTGACATTAGTCTCTGCCAATGGGACTGAACAGAGAGTGTACAAAGTCTGCTTTTTACGTGAACGTGAGTGACATATTCATCATTAACATACGTTTCTAAAAGAATAAAATCTGAGTAGAAATTTGCTCAGTATTATAAATTGTTTTGTTTAGTGTCTTACATCATTCTTTATTCTCAGCTATACATTATTTCGCTATATACGCATGATTGTCTCCTGCATGATTTCAATTTGAAGTTGAAATGTTCTTAAATTTGTTAGAGAAGAGGTCAATAAAATAATCTTATATTGAAGGTCTAATAAAGTTGTGTTACTATCGTTCGTTGAGCAGACAATTGAAAAGATATTTGTCTCACGATTAAATTGTTAAGTCAAAGAAGCAAGATTATGGGGCACTAAGATCTCCCCCTCCTAGTGTATTACTGCTCTAAAAGTTTTAGATCATTCGATAAGATCTGGATTTTTCTTATAAAATTATAGGAAAAACACTGGGTAAATATAGAGAGCTCAATTTGTTTTTGTAATTCGAGAACGAGTAACTCGTCTTGGTTTTCTATACTTTTACAACAAAAAGAAATGCAAATAATGTAATTATTACTTAAATTTAACAAAAAGTGTAACAACATTTATCTATTTATACTTGCTGTATACACACTGTAATTAGACAGATTGATTACTACACTTTTCTATAACATGAAATATCTTCAACTAAACTAAAAATAAGTTGCTGAGTAAATTATATAAACTTAAATTGTGTAAATATTCGTTCATCGCAATATTTGCTCTTTGTACTAAGTTTTTTCATATCATGATTATCACTAATATTTTCATTTGAACTTTTTGAACTTAAGATATACGATGATATTCCTTTAGCCTTTTACAGCGTTTTGGACTTTAATTTATCTTGTCGAAGCTCGTGCTTCTTGGTGATTAAAGCAACCAGTTTTAGTAGTATTTTTACATATGTTAACTATTCTTCTTTACGCACAGTTATCTTATGGAGGGACTTCAGCATCCAACAGATGGTTCGTTACATTCTGGATATACTCTTATTACCTTTTGAAATCAATGAGAACCAGTCTGTTAAAACAAATTGTCATTCATTTTACTAATAAAACCCATGTTGCAGAAATGTTTTTGAATTGTAAATGTTGCGTAAAAGTAATGAAGTTTAATGTCTAACTCTCTGTCATTTATATTTAGCTATTTTATTCTTTTCGCTGGTAATAAAATTGTAACTTATCTGAGACTGTTTGCAAATCATAATAATATAATAATAATTATAACGAGTGTTTTCTTTTTTCTTGAAAATATTTTTCGCGGAATCTTTCTCGATGACGTAGATACGCGTTTCAAAAAAACAGTCCTTGAGAGCAACTCGAGTCTTCGTTACTGAAAATCGTAAGAGCTGGTTGCAACAGACGAAATATGGTAAAATACGATGCGTACGCAGCGTGTCGTAACAAATTAACCTTGTTGACCTGCCTGTCAGTCTTCAACCGAATAATTTATCTTCTGCTGATGTACAATCGAAGGCAAATAAAAGAAGGAAATGAAGCTTCGAGAAAAAATTTTTTTCATTCGAGGAAAACCAACGACGCTCGTGTGTACACTTCACGTCATTCCCTGGAATATACACTCTCGGCGGAACGTCGTCGATCATTTGAAAAGGAAGACAAACAAATTGCCAAGAAATTTGAAAAACAAACGAATTAATGTGTACAATAGGATAATGCAATATCCAGGCTGTGAATTTATATTTTCATGAATACAGGGTGAGCCAAAAATCACTTCCTACTAGAAGATTTTATTAATTTTTAAAATTAATAAAATTAACTTTTTCTTATATCTTGATGTTTTATTAAAAAAAAAATAAGTAAGCTCCAACCTTTCTTTGGCTTCACCTGAGCGTTTCTAAACTCCTGATATCTCACACCTACTTTCATAATTCTTGTTATTCAAAAAGCAAATGTTTGACGTAGAGTGTTCTGGCGCAGAACAGAACCCTCCGAGGCGTCAGTCAGGTCAATTCCTACAAAGCCTCGGCCCTGCCGAGAATTGCCAGATGTGCTAACATACCTCTCATTTAAGGACACTTTCTCTGGCCTTGGAGAGAGAGAGACAGTATGTGGAAAGGCTCGGTAGGGCATAAACAAAGCCTTGTCTAGGAAACAAGGCGCCTTGGCCAGCTCC